CTCTCATTTTGAGGCGCCTCAAAAACGGTCTGTTTAAAGTGATGGTAGCCACATAACCCCTTACACTCTCATTTTGAGGCGCCACAAAAACGGTCTGTTTAAAGTGATGGTAGCCACATAATTACCCCATAATATCTCCCCTCTCCCACCCCCCCTCCTCCCCTCTCCCCCAAACCGTTTCCCACTCTCACCTCCCTAATTCCTTGGGCCATGCAGATCTGTTTCAGGGGGGCGTCAGTGATGGTGGGGTATTACAAACAGCAAGAGATGACAGCTGAGGTCATTGACAGTGATGGATGGTTCCACACAGGGGACATTGGGCAGGTGAGTGGTGACTGCAGGGGTTCTTTGGGGTCCTTCCTTTGCGATCAATGTATCTAGTGTGACCTGTACATGCAGTGAATCGTTCGTCACGTGCGGTTCATGGGTGCATCAATCATGCGTGTGCGGTTCATACATGCACTGTTCATGCGTGAACTGTCCATACATGCACTGTTCATGCGTGAACTGTCCATACATGCACTGTTCATGCGTGAACTGTCCATACATGCACTGTTCATGCGTGCACTGTTCATGTGTGTGTGGCTGACACGTGCAGGTGATCGAGGACGGTACGCTCACCATCATCGATCGCAAGAAGAACATCTTCAAACTCGCTCAGGGCGAGGTGAGGCACACACAGGGCGAGGGGAGGCACACACAGGCCGAGGGGAGGGCTGTGCTCGGGGCGAGGGGAGGGTGGCTCAGAGCGAGGTGAGGTGCAGGGGAGGGGAGGGGAGGGGAGGGGAGGTGAGGCATTCTTACTGCCCTCGCGAGCCTTGCATTCCAGGCTGGCATTATTCTCATTCCACGTCAGATGTGAGGATAAGCTGAGTCTACACCCACAACAACAATCTCTGCCCTTCTCACACACCCCTGCAGTACGTGGCAGCAGAGAAACTCGAGGTGCTGTATGCCAGTACTGTTCACAATAGAATAGCTTGTTCGTGTGATTTCTCTCACCCGCAATCATCCCACGTGCCTTCTCCCACCCAACCCCCCTGCAGTACGTGGCAGCAGAGAAGCTCGAGGTGCTGTATGCCGGTGCTGCAGTGGTGGCTCAGAACTTTGTGTATGGCGACAGGTGAGTACTTTGGTGCCTTCCTATCTGTGAGGCGGATTAGTAACAGAATAAACTCTCCGATTCCTCACACACACTCTCTCCCATATGCATTGTTTCCCCTCTTCTCTCACGTGCCTGCCTGCTCTCAATGCCCACCCATGTGCTCTCACCCATCCTTCTCCACCTCACCCTGCCTGCCACTTGTCCATCCGTCACCTTGCCCTCCCCCCCATCACCTTGCCCTCCCCCCCATCACCTTTCCCTCCCCCCCATCACCTTGCCCTCCCCTTCGACACCTTTCCCTCCCCCCCATCACCTTGCCCTCCCCCCCATCACCTTGCCCTCCCCCCCATCACCTTGCCCTCCCCCCCATCACCTTTCCCTCCCCCCCATCACCTTGCCCTCCCCCTCGTCACCTTGCCCTCCCCCCCATCACCTTGCCCTGCCACCCGTCACCCTGCCTGTCCCTCAACCCCCTGTCCATGTGGCTCAGCTTCAAGTCCTCACTGGTGGCGGTGGTGGTGCCTGAAAAGGACGTGCTCTCTGATTGGGCCACGTCATCAGGAACCCTCTCTGCTGACGAGGCTGCCACGGCATCCCTTGCTGACCTGTGAGAGTGCATGCTTTTTCTGCTTAGCTTGCTTCCCCTCATAGCTGTGTGTCCTTCTTAGGTGCATGTTTTTCCCCATGCCCCCAAGCCCTTCATGCCTGCATGGCCATGTGAGCTGGTGAGAGGCGTGGCTTTGGAACTCAACACCACCCTCCCTACCCCCTTCCACCCCTGCGCTCCCCCCTCTCCCTATCCACAGCTGCGCCCTCCCAGGAGCGAGGGAGTACGTCCTAGATGAGCTGGTGAAGCGGCCAAGGCAACGAGCATGAAGGGCTTATCCCCTCTTCCCCCTCCCACCCCTGCACTCCCCTCTCCTCCTTGCCACAGCTGCGCCCTCCCAGGAGCCACGGGAGTACGTCCTGGATGAGTTGGTGAAGCGCGCCAAAGCAACGAGCATGAAGGGCTTTGAGGTGGTGCGGGGCGTGGCTCTGAAGTGTGAGATCATCCCCTCTTCCCCCTCCCACCCCTGCGCTCCCCTCCTCTCCCTTTCCACAGCTGCGCCCTGCCATGAGCAAAGGAGTATGTTCTGGATGAGTTGGTGAAGCGCGCCAAGGCAACGAGCATGAAGGGGCAACTCTGATGAGGTGGTGAGAGGCATGACTTTGAATGTGCCACCACCCATCCCTGCACTCCCCTTCTCCTCCTTGCCACAGCTGCGCCCTCCCGGGAGCAAGGGAGTATGTCCTGGATGAGTTGGTGAAGCGCGCCAAGGCGACCAGCATGAAGGGGTTTGAGGTGGTGCGAGGCGTGGCGCTGGAGGCCGAGGCCTTTACCACGGAGAACGACCTCATGACGCCCTCCTTCAAGCTCAAGCGCCCCAAGCTCAAGGTGGGTGCGAGCTGGGCACTGAGGTTAGTGCTGCCCTTCGAGACGCAGAGCTGCTGGGTCAAGGGTATGCATGGCTCAAGGCGTGGCTCTGGAGGCAGAGGCCTTCTCCACTGAGAAAGATCTCATAACTCCTCCCTTCTAGCTCAAGTGCCCCAAGCTCAAGCACCCCAAGCTCAAGCGCCCCAAGCTCAAGGTGAGTGCTGCTGTAATGTGAACCTCTTCCTGCAAGCCCAGGCTCCAAGGTGGGCGAGGCTCAGAGGTGGGCAGGCATGGCTCTGGAGGCAGAAGCCTTCTCCACTGAGACCGACCTCGTGACTCCTTCCTTCAAGCTCAACCGCCCCAAGCTCAAGGTGGGTGCTGCTGGGATGCAGACCCCTTTTTGCTCAGCCTCTCAGCCTCAAGGCGAATGTGAGATGGGCACTGAGGTTTGCTCGGGGCACTGAGACACAATGCTGCAGGGTCAAGGGTAGGTGGGTGCTGTTGAGCTGCCACTCGTTGCAAGCTGAAGGTGTTGTTGTGGCACCGTTGGAGTTGCGATGTGTTTATCCCAAGCAAGCATTCTCGCTTGCCCTAATGATGCTCCTTTGTGGGGCACTATTCTTTATTGAGCAGCCTTTCTGTTTCTTATGCACTCAGCCCTCCCTCTCCATCTGCTTCTGTCTGTGCGTGCGAGTCAGCGTGTCAATGTGTTCACAAATGTTGGGGGTTTTCTCTATCTGCTCCCTTCCTGTCCTTTCCAGGCCAAGTACCAAGCGGCAATTGACGAGCTCTACACCACACTCACGTAAATGCGAACGCAGCAGTTAGGCAAGCATGAATTATTTCGCATGCAGCATGTGCCATGCATGCCTTTAGCGACTTCAAATTCTCTGGATCCAGCTGGAGGCTCGTGCATGACAAAGCAAGCACCCTTTACAACTGAGGGATTTAGTCTTCAAGGAGCTACAAGCGCGGCAAATCTGGTTATTTTATTTTTATAGAGCTCTGGAATCGTTGTTGGGGCTCTGGAATACATCATGGTGAACTCTTCATCTGAATTTTTCAATATACATGAATGCCTGCTGGTATGAAGTGTTTGAAAAACTGCAAGGAAGTAGAAGTTACACGTTTGATATTTTAGTGCGCAAATGACTGTACCAAAGACACTGCTTTCTTCAGCCGACTCCGTACGTCCTGAGTCATGACTCACCACACCATTGGTTGTTGACTTGAGACGTTGACATTCGTGGCTCTGGAGATATCATGGAGGAGGTTGGATCAGTTCCTTTTCTACTTGTATGAGTGGCCACCGATATGACCTCACATTTTACAGCAACGGCATCCAGGTGGGCTGTTTCCTCCACACACGATTCCAGCGCATGTTCCAGCAACGCAGCAGTCATAAAAAAGTTCGCGCCGTCTCCGCCAGCACGGTGCAACCGCAGGCCACCGGCCCACCGACTTTGCTGGCCCCCCGCAGAAATTGGCTAGAATGACGTGGTCAGATCTCAAAAAGCGCACGCTTGATGTCAGCCGCAAGATCCTCTTCCCCCGGATATTTTGATTTTCCTTTCGTGTGTGAAAAATGAGCAGTTCCAGCAACCAGCTGCGTGGAGCGAACAGCTCAGCACAGCAAACAACCACACTTCACTCTACAACTTTCCACGCAACTGTTCCGAATCCTCAAGCGTGGCTGAGAATCATCAACCAATCTGACGCACGAGAATGAACTCCGCTGATTGGACTGACCTGTGCAACCTGCCTGAGCACGCGCTCTTCCCGTTTCCTTGTCACTTTCGCCTTTGTTTGCTGGAATAAATGCGGCTCGCGTAGCAAGCAACCAGAAGGCTCGGACAGAATGATCAGGTTCGGCTAGATTACCCTCCACACCAACGGCTGCACCAGATTCCCGCCGCGGTCCAAGCTTGCTTACGAGGCTTGGACAATTGGTGCGGTCACCACACTCGTACCGCGTCTAGTTGGAATAGACCCATGCCAGCACGACAGAGCCGATGGCCTCCTCACCACGTGCCATCCACGGTCAACCTAATCAACTGCGTACCGCCATCTAACAGATCTACCCCCCCAACATATTCACCACCTACCAAGCCAATCACCCTACCAACCACTTCACCTCGTCGTGGTTCGGCTTCTATGCTAACAGCCTACAAATCGCGGTTTGGTTTGCCTTCCAGCTTCGGCTCTTTCCGTGCCTGATCTTTTAGCACCCCAACCTTCCTCAGCCTCCCATTAGCGCTAATCCAAATCCACTCGTAACTCGAGCTGCGGCTCTTTCTCATCGCTTTCTCCGCATAAAGCGCACAGCTTTTCTCATTTGCATCATGAAAAAACATCCATTGACGGTTTCAGCCTGAATAACTCAGTCGGCAACATCTCTAGCTTGCTGCAAACGACAACATTAGGCTAAGCGACTTTTGTATTCGTAACTTAGAAGGCTTGTAATATCTGGATCTGCTACCAATGGCAGCCATAACATCAGCGCGCCTCTTGATATCGCCAGCACCAGCCGCGATAGCGTCTTCTCGCCTCATCCCCACAACGAGCGTAAAGCTGACTCCTTTCCTCGTGTCCCCAGCCACTCAGCGGCTCCTCCGCTCCGCCGCGCAGCACCTCTCCACCAGGCACGGCGAGAAACGCGGTGGTGCGCTCACCGCGCGATGCGATCTCACCGGCGGCGCCGGCCTGGGCCCCGAAGAGCTCGAAGCGTTTGTAACCGCCGTCAAGTCCGTGAGCGACGCGGCCCCACACGACGTCAACTCGTTAATGACCCTCGCTGTGGGACTCGGGTTACCATGTAACGTCATGGAATGCGGGGACGCGATTTACCTCTCGAGTCTCGCGCACGAGCACCACTTGACGGCGGCCGGCGCGGCGCTTCTGCTTCAAGTCGGCGCGTATCTCTGGGCCACGCCGGGAGTCGCAGCGGGTTACTGGGACATGTTCGTTCTCGCTAAGATCGACCGTTTCTTTCGCAAAACGTACAAGCAATCCGATCTCGTGCTCGGAAAGAAGATTGGCGAGGGTGGGTTCGGATCGGTGTACGTCGGTACGCTCGCGAACGATCCGGAGTACAAGGTCATCGTGAAGCGCGCCACGGAGTTTGGTGACGTGGAGCTCTGGATGAACGAGCGCGTGCGCCGCGCGTGCCCGGACGTGTGCGCGGAGTTTCTGGGCGGATTCATGGTGAAGGGGAGCAAGGGGAAGACGGGCGCGGGGAAATTCTTGGCTGCCGCGGCTTCCAGCACGTCTGATGAGGTGTGGCTGGTGTGGCGGTACGAAGGCGACTCGACGTTCGCTGATGTTCTAACGGACCGCGACTTCCCGTATAACGTGAGTTAAGAGCCTCTTATGTGCCTGATAGACATCGGAATAACCCCATCGCTGGTCTTACCGATGATCGGTGGTCCATTAGAGGTTCATTACGTCTATTAGTTATAATTAATATTATTATTTACATTATCGTATTTTTTTTCGACATGAGCAGATCGAGAAGACGCTCTTCGGCAAGCAGGCGCCGCCGGCGGACGAGCCACGCGGCCCGGAGAGGGAGCTCCACGTGGCGCGCGAGATCATGCGCCGCCTTCTAACTTCTCTTGAGAAGCTGCACAGCCAGGGCATCGTGCATCGCGACGTGAAGCCCGAGAACATGATTTACTGCAAGGAGAAGGGCGTGCTTAAGATTATTGATCTCGGCGCCGCGGCGGATCTGCGCGTGGGGATTAACTACGACCCCGACCAGTACCTGCTGGACCCGCGGTGAGCCCCTAGCCGCACTGCTCCTGAAGCGGTGAATTCCACTCGCGATCGGACCCAAAGAGAGTACATCATTAGCGCGAACATCCAGCGTACCGCTCCTCATCCCTCTCCAATCCTCCCTGCCGCCGTGTTCTCCGTGTTGTTTCCCCCCATGCAGCTACGCAGCACCGGAGGAGTACATCATCAGCGCGAACACGCAATGCACCGCTCCTCATCCCTCTCCGCTCCTCCCTACCGCCCTGTTCTCCGTGCTATCTCTCCCCCCCATGCAGCTACGCAGCACCGGAGGAGTACATCATGAGCACGCAGACACCCAGTGCACCCTTCCTCACCCCTCTCCACTCCTCCCTGCCGCCCCATTCTCCGTCCTGTCTCCCCCGTCCAGCTACGCGGCACCGGAGGAGTACATTATGAGCACGCAGACACCAAGCGCGCCGCCAGCCCCGGTTGCTGCTGCCCTTGCACCCGTCCTCTGGCAGGTAAACCCCTCTCCGATCCTCCCCACCAACCCCGAAAACCCTCTTGTGAGCACCATCTGACGAGTCTAAACGCCCCCGTTTCCCTCGGAGGGTCTCGTCTCTTACCTCTTTGTGTGCCATGAAGGTTCTCCCCAGTCAAGCAAATCACCTGATGCGAAATTCCAGTACCGTATTCTTACCCTCCTCTTAACACGTCTCCCTCATCACCTTCCAACCCTTTTTCCCCTCCTTTACCCGCTTTCTCCACCAGATGAACCATCCTGACCGCTTTGACATGTACAGCGCTGGGCTCGTCTTCCTTCAAATGCTCTTCCCCACACTCCGCTCAATACCCCCTCCCCATCCCTTGTGTCCCTCCTTCTCCTTCCCCTTCACCCTTCAGATGAACCACCCTGATCGCTTTGACATGTACAGTGCGGGCCTTGTCTTCCTCCAGATGCTCTTCCCCTCCCTCCGCTCCGATACTGGTCTCGCCTCCTTCACCCGCCAATTCAAAAAGCTCGACTACAACCTCTCCCTTGTACCCTTCCAACCCCCTTTCCCCACCTTCCCCTTGACCCCCTCCCACAGATGAACCACCCAGACCGCTTTGACATGTACAGCGCTGGCCTCGTCTTCCTCCAAATGCTCTTCCCCTCCCTCCGCTCCGACACTGGTCTTGCCGCCTTCACGCGGCAGTTCAAAAAGCTCGACTACAACCTCTCCGCGTGGCGCGAAAAGCTTGAACTTCGGGCCACAGCGGACGATATGCGGCGACTTGAGCTTCTAGATGAAAATGGCGGCCATGGCTGGGGGTTGCTTGCGTCGATGTTGCGGAAAGAAGGGGGTAAGAGGATTAATGCCAAGGCTGCGCTTGCGCACCCGTTTTTCCACACGCGAGAGGCGAGGTTGATCAAGGAGATTCGGAACGGGTTGTTTGTGCCCAAGCCTGCGCATTTCGAGGGGGATGAGCCGCAGGTCTGGGTGACGGACCTGATGGCTAGGTCCGGCACGCAGGAGGCTGGTGGGTTCACGGAAGTTTCGCTCCAGATGTTCAAGAGGAATGAGCGGCGGCAGCAGAGGAAGCACAGGAAGCGCACAGACCCGTCCCCGGCATTGGCAACCACAGAGGGTTCTGCCAGCACAGGGCAGCGCGACAACTCGTGGTGGAACGTGCTTGAATCGCCCAGGTGAATGGTGGAAGGATGAAGGTTGATACCTCAGCCGCCGAGGTGAATGGCATAAGGATGAAGATTGATACTTCGACCGTCGTAGTAAGGGGGGGGGCAGGGTTGGTGAAGGGTCCGTGCTGGTCACTGAAGTGAAGGCGAGAGATCCCAGGGATGGACAACCGGAGAGGGAGGGGGGGCTAGGGTGGTGCGTACCAAGGCTGCGTTACGGGCTGACAATGGGTGTTTTCATGAAAAGCAACCCAGGCAAGCCAAGAGAGGAAGCTTCAGAAGCTAGTTTTGGATTACACAGCGGCATCCTGTCTTTACTCCAGTATATAGCAAGCTTTGTGTGCCCAAATAATCAGAGTTTGTTACTGCACCCAATGTGCGTTATCTAATATATACAACGTATTGGAACATCATGTTGGGATGGGATATGACACGTGATCCACTGGGGTACACAGAATGCATGAGGCATCAGTTGAGGGAATTAGACCACTCTAAACAACCAATTACCTCTCTGAATGGCTTGCCTAGCCACCGCGCAAGAACAATCTGCCCATTTCCATTCCATCCAATTATCAGGCAGGTTGACTGACAAATACCTTGTGCCGAATGAATAAACGAATGAAGGCATTGATTCATATAACATCCCTATATAGGGACTCGACTGGCCCCTGTAGACATTGGGACGGCCTGGCCACTGTGCAAGTGCAGTCAGCCTGCCCTCCTCACACCAACAAATGAGATAGGTAGCCTAACCGATACTCTGCCTTACTGGTCCCTGATGAGGCTGCTGGTGCCAGGAATACCTGTGCCACCCTCTAGTGCTGCTGCTGCTGCTGCTGCTGTGGCTGTTGCTGCCACTGCTGCTGCTCGCACCAACAAAAGAGGTAGCCTAACCGATACTCAGCCATTCTGGTTCCTGATGCTGCTGCTGGTGCCATGGATACCTGTGCCCCCCTCGAATCACCAGTGACATTTCAGTCAACCCAGGAGACCAGTGCCTCTTGCTGCAACTGTATTCTTCCCCATCCCTCACACCCAAGCCAATAGATCCAACTGATTTTCTAGTCGACTCAAAACCAAACCCTTTTCCACCCTTTACTCCACCGAACAACCCAGCCCTGCTCACATACACCCTATCTGCACTCCCTGGGGAAGACCCACTCACCCTCACCCTCTTCCTCTTCCTCCTCCCCCGTTTCCTGTTGTTTCTCGCTCTCTCTTCCCTCGCCCACTCCTCCACCTCGCTCTCGCTCGGCCCTCGGAGTACACACCCTGCCTCCTTGCCGCCCGGCCGCCAGTTTGACTGGATAAGCCAGCGCATGCCGCCCTGCCCCACCATGTTGTAGGCGTACCTGTCCCCAACAGTCCTGATGCTGCTGGCAGGGCCAAAGTCAATCTGAAGAAGGCAAGGGGTGAGGATGACAGCAAAGAAGGAGGGGGAAATACAGGTGATGTAGCAGCGTACATCCCATCCTCGTGTAGGCATAGCTGTTCCCTTCTTCCTCATACTCCTAAGGTCCAAGGGATATTAATGAGCATGAGGAGGGGTGGTACGGAGCGAGGTGTTGACTCTAAATGCATGTTTCTTTCTGATTTGCCCATCATCCTGTGACAAAATCATTATACATAACTCCCTTCCCCTCCCCTCCCTCCCTCCCGTGTCCTCCCCCTTCCCCCCTTGCCCTGCTCCCCCCCACGCACCTGACACTTGTCAGCATTCTCCTGTCCGTCATCATCGAACCACCCTCGGGTGAACACAGGATTTGTGGCTGCCTCTGCAATCTCATGGCCCACGATGCTCACCATCCCGTCCACCCCTCTCCACCCATTCGCACTCCCCTGCATCCCAAACCCCCTCCTGCACCCGCTTGGGCACTGCTCCTCCGCGTTCCCCACGAATGCGAATTTGAGAACCTTCCGGGAGACTTCCATGTACGAGTGCCACCCGCAGTAGGTTTGGCAGAAGCCGGTGTTGGGCCGGGAGGATCCGAACCTGACGTCCGCGCTGGAGAGGACGAGGTACTGGGCTCGAGAGGATCGGGGGAAGGTTCGGTTGGCTAGCTGAGCAGCAACAACTGTGACAGGGCTTGGGTAAACGAGAATTACGAATGGGAGGAGGTTGGACGAAGAGGGTGAGAAGGCAGTAAGTGACCATGAAGGGGAAATTTCGACAGGGAGGGAAATCACGGAAAATGAAGAAGCTGTGATTATAATAGGGTGACAGTATCTCACTGTTCCAGACTCCTTGCATGTCGTTAGATACGACCTTCCCCAGAGAGTACCTGTCCCGCACTGACTTTCCCAGATGGACCTGCATGTGTGTGGGCAGCAATGCATGGGATGGGGAAAGGTACAGATGGTGAGATGGTGGTGAGAGATTGGGGTACGAATGAAGCAGATTGAGGAGAAAAGCAGACCGAGGACGTAAGCACATTGCAAACAGACACAGATGGTGGCTCTGTGAGAGAGCGGAGGCAATTCAAAGACAAAGGTGAAACAGCTTACCTGAGAGGTCACTCGTTTCCTTCCCTTCTGAGTGTACCACATGTTAATCCTCCACCAATCCGCCACTCTCGCAAGATTCCCCTCCTGACACGTCAGCCGGGAACGTACTAAACACAAGTAAACGTGGAATGTAGAAGCGAGAATGGGAGGATGCATGGCAGATTCGTGCATGTAGCATCGGATCACGCATGGCAGATGCATCATGCATGCATGTAGCATGGGATCATGCATAAGATGATGCATAACAGAGGCATTCGAAATGCACTGACACTTGTGCTCTCCTTACATTGGGTGTGGTCGTCGTGTTCGAGAGCGAATGGATGAAGTTCTTAACGATGCGCATCTGGCTCTTGCGCCAGGAGCCATAGAATACTAAATACACCGTGATTGGCCGAGTCATTAGTTTCCCGCCATGGTACTTGATTGGAAGCTGCTGATTCGCAGAATCTGAAGCGCCAGCAGTGACTGCTGCACCACTGACTACAGAACCACCCCCATCACCAGCACCAAAACCACTTGCACCAGAACCACCAGCAACAACAGCAGCGGCAGCAGCAGTTGCAGGAGCAGAAACAAGACCAGCAGTTTTTTTCACGGCCGCCCGTCTTCTCCATACAGTCCGTGCCATCGCCTCGTCTACAGTCACAATCTCCCGAGGATCCATGGCTCTGCGAGGATTTCGAGACGTCCGAGCCTCGTCTATAGCCACAATCCCCCGAGGATCCAAGGCTCTTCGAGAGAAAGGCTCGCTCTGCGCAAGGAGTGCTCCTGAAGCTCCCAGTTGTTCATGGCTTCCGCTCATACTACCTCCCACCAGACTCGCATCCCCGAGGCGCATTTGCTGTTTAGCAGTTGCATCGAAACTAGCAAGGGAGATCGAGTCGCTCCGGAAGCTGCCAACGGATCGAGTCAAGAGTGGAGTGACGCTCACAAGGCCGGACGGGCGCGCGTCGAGCAACCAGAGAGAGGAGGTTGCTGGCCTTGGGAGTTGCGCGGATGGGGTGGATGGCTGGGGTAAGGCGAGGAGTGAGAGGAGGAGGATGAGGTGAGAGCTGAGCATCGTTTACACGCTGGAGTTAGGAGGAACTACCAGTACGAGGGTCGAAATTTCCCCGTGGGTCCGGACTCCAGATAGTTGATGCTGAATGCGTGAATTGACATCCTGAGGACAGGGCTGTCGCTTGGAGGTCTGTATGAGCGCTTGCGAAATGATGGTGTTACAACCTGGCTAGAATGAGTGCAAAACGACTGGAAGCAAGGGAATGATCTCAAGGATGAGCCTAAGTTCGAGGGACATGATCCCTCCCGATGATGACTTCGAGGTGCTGATCCAGAGGGGGTGGAGGGAACCAGCTGGTGGGCTATTCGTCGGAAATTGCTGGAACTGCTTCATGTCGCTGACGAACGATTTGGTAGCGTGGAAGTTGCAGGAGTTATTCGCGAAGCGTCGCTGTGGGGGTTGTTTGTAACTCCGCTACATTCGCGAACCCCGCTGGGATCATAATAGCCAGGTGGTTGGGGTAGGTGGCACAACGCGAAAGTGCCAACAGTGTTTCATCATCCCTCTTGCAGAATGCACCATCGAAGTAGAACATGAACACATTAATTCGTTAATGCAATCTAAATACCCAAAACATGAAATGAAGGAGGAACCACAGGGCACACCTGGAAAGCCCCAATAGACAATACTATAGTATGCCTAAAAAAACACGGTAACCGCTCGATAACTAGCTAGACTCGCCAGACTAGTTACTGTTATTACCGGACAGCGCTTATTGTCTGCGCCCCTTGACCGTGGTACTAATGAGCCTTCACCTATGGAAATGGGCTTGGCTAATAAGTGGCTACGAGTCCTTCTGACCTCCAAGAGGCTGTTGGCTGGCAGCAGACCCCGCAACCCCACGCTCCGACAGACGAACAGCCATGTGGAAGGAGGCTCGCACCTTGTTCCTCGCCATGTGAAAATCCTCGAATTGCTTAGCCAAGCTACGGGAAGCTCTTCCATTGCTGGCGTGATCGGGAAGTGCAATTGCTGGTTCCGCTATGCGATCAGCCATGGCGGCTGCAGGATCGGCCCAGGAACTTTGCACAGCAGAAGCCGCAAACGAGCAGCGCACAAAGGATGGAATACGAACTGCAGAATGTTGTCTCGAAGGATGAGCAGGTTCGAAGCAGCCGACAAGGGTTGGAGTGTTCTTTCCGAGTCTGTCGTCGCTGAGAGGATTGGTCGGAGGCGCGGCGCGAAGCGGCAAATTTGTCGACGTCCGGACCTTCCTGGGACCATTGAAGGCCTCGAAACGCTTTTCAAGGCTCGGATGTCCGTTTGTCCCAAGGCACGGAAGCGACATGGCAGGCGAAGCTTGACATCCGCTAGAAGCGTGAGATACAGTACTATTTTCCATAATGCTTCTCAGATAATCGGCGGCATTTGTGACCTTGAACAAGCCTGTCGCTTCAGCCAGCGGAGGAACGCGGGACACGGCAATCGTGCTGCTGATGGTTGCAGCGGCGAGGACGGTCGACGTCGCGCCGGGGTTGACGGACGCCACGTAGCACGCCAGCGCCTCGACTTGACCGCCAATTTCGGAATTGAAATGGCGCGTCGGCACCGGAAGTGATGGAAGTGGGGCGCTGCGACGCTGGTTGACGTGGTCGCCGCACGTTACCGCGGCATTGGCGGCGCGTTCCGCGGCGCAGCGCTGGGCGACGCGGAGAAGGGCAAAGGAAATTTGACACGCGGCAGGCATCAGCGCTGACATCATGACTTTCCCACCTTGATTGATCATTGACGGAGCCGCCATTAGATCCCGGACGGGAAGTGATATCGGGAAAGGCAGGGAAAAAGACAGGCGAATCCAGGTAAGAACCGCTGGCGAGGGGGGAGCAAGAAGAGGTTTTGAAATAAGGCCAATTTGAAGACCAACAAGGAGTCCGCTCAGAATAGTTTAGAGTGTCAGTTGTGAGAGTAGGCGGACTGAAATGTGGGTGCTGTAAAGCTGGACCCTGCAGAGCAGTCCTTTATGTGTTGTGCTCGCCCCACCAATAGCTGTGGCGGGGAAGAGGAAGGGCTCTTGTGGTGTGCACGGGCATTGACTTCATGCACAACATTTTTGGGGAGGCGCTGTGAAAGCGGTCAGGTGTGCACTCAGCAGCAGCCGCACTCAGCTTGATCTGGGAAAGCGAGAAAGTCCAGGTAGGAAAGTGAAATTGCGGTGCAAATTGCGCCATGCGTTCTACGCATGCCAAGAACGTGCTTTTATTCTAAAATGGAAGGGGCAGATCGATCTCGCTCATGTGAACGACTTGAGCTGACTCGAAAGCGAGATGCATTGGGCAATGGGCACATTTCAAGCTCGCTTCCGACAAATTCTTACGTATACCCCACGAGAGGCTGCAATGGTCTTTGCTCTGCTGGATTTCTACTTCTGTCTGACTTGTCAACCAGTGGCGTGTTGGATTCTGATGAAACGTGGCAGTCGATGACTAGATAAAGCGAGAACAGCATTATCTTTCCACGTCGTTCCACCGTCAACTTGCATGTGTCCAGGTAAACTAGATTTGTATGCTGGAAATGCCTAACATAAGGTAACACAATACTTTTCAGATATTTATGATTGAACATAGAATATTTTTTTTTTATAGACCAGGGCGTGATTCTTGTATGAAGTACATATTTATATGTGAAAAATAGTCAAAAATGCATAGGAGTAACAAAATACACGTTATTAGGATTAATTATAATGAATCAGATGCTCTTTATGTACATTCTTATTCATGGATGCTGTCATTTATGAATCCTATCTGTAACTCAACATTCACTAGATTGGTGTACTCAACAAGGTGGCAATGGACAGCAGAATGGACGAGGGAAAATATGCCGTTCGTAACCATCATGGGACTCGAAAACATTTTTGGTAAGAAAATAAAGGGTACGGTCACTGCAAAGGGTGTTTTCACGCGACTGATAAAGCGTTTCACGGAATCAGTCACAATCAGCTGGTAAAAAAAAAAACGCGAATTGTCACAGATGAAACTCCCGCCAAAACAAAATGAAACCCAGAAAGAACCTGGATGCATTTTCGGATGATCAACCCTAAACACGTAACTCGCCAGGTGTTTAGGGTTGATCCGTTCCCAAACCGCATCCGATTCCGATTGGGTTTTAGTTTTTTTACAAGTTCGCAGATTGGTTGGGTGCGAGCGGGAATTTTGTTGAGTTTCAAGTTTTTTGGCGGGAGTTACATGTGTGACCATTCGCGTGATTTTTTACCTGTTGTTAGTGACTGAATCCGTGACCCCGCTTACCAACCCGTCAGAAAACCCGATACAGTGACCGTACGCGTTTTTTTTACCATTCACGTTATCGAGTCCCAAGTTGGTTACTTGTGGCATATTTCCCAATGGACGACGCCATCATCAAGCCGCACCACCACACTTTGATTTTAGTCGCCGACGAATGACAGGCTCCCGAATAGTCAGCATGCCTGCCCATTGGTCGTCGATTGACCGATTTCACCCACAAAAGAGGGAGCAAGAGAAATTGGTGAGTGCTTGGCTCCTTCGCAAATATCGTCACGTCGCAAGTTCGTTTCGCCAGCTCAAAGAATAGCCGTTTGGTAACACGCGTTCCGCCCCAACCGACCCCTTCCATCCAAAGCAGTCAGTGTTCATTGCAGACCTCCCTTGATTCTTTCGCACGCTTCTGCCTCTCCCTTCAGGTATTTCTGCTTCTCAAACCCCCCTCCACTTTATTCACATACTACGCAATCCCTTAGGGCGTGTGTCTTTCGGAGTGTAGGTAAACTTCATGTTTTTTTCGACTTTATGCATTTGAACCTTGGTCGACCTGTAGTCGACTATCCCGATAATTTTCCATTTTTTCTTCTCATTTTTTCCTTCTTTTTTCACATCAACACATGGACCAACAAAGTTCGACTGACGAAGGCCGACTCTATACAGTAAATCCCGTAGGTTACCTGGTCTATAGAAAAGAATTCGTGACCGAATACGACTTCGGTAACTCGTTACGAAGCAGTTTGTGTATGTCGCAGTTTTCGTTACTGCTTTGTGCGTGAGCAGAGGAACACACGATTGGAAAAATGTGGACGAAAAAATCGACAGCGAGGTCGACCCCAGTTCAGTGTCCTGTTTTCTCAAACATTTTACATGGACACACGAACGTCGCAAAGAGTTTTAGACGATACTAACGAAGCTGGTTACCAGTAAAGGGTCGACCTTTTTTCCGAACTACACCAAAAGACACACACCCTTACCTCGTTCACAATTATATGACTCCTCTCCCAAACTCCTAACCTCATATCTGACAACTACTAAATCAGTTTCCTGTGTTGTCTTGCTGCCTCCTCGATGCTTAGTTCTCGCATTGGATTACCTGCCAGTTCGTCGCAGTTCTGGTCAGTAATCTCGTCTTCAGGTTAGCTTAGCTGCAGGACAAGCTCTGTCATTGCTGACAAGTCTCAGCCTTCTCGCATCAGCTCTGCCTTGCCAGCAAGGCAGGTTATCAGTCTTGCAACCACCACTACCATTTTATCGTGAAGAAGAAGAAGAAAATTGTTATATTGTTACGTCTTGAAAGCCGCAGCTTGCGACGGTTTGAGCATCGTTAGGAGCACCTGCAATTTTACCCTCCCGTTTAGTGCTTTTTCAATCCCGCCTTGCAAGCATGCACCGGATGGTGAGTCCCCCCCCGGGCTTCGCGCCAGTCTCGAAATTGGTGACTCCTTCGACAGCGATGATGGCTCCGTCTACCGCCGCGTCTAACGGAGCAGTGCAGGAGAAAGGGAATTATGCGGCTCACGAAAGGGCGAACTCCGTGTCGAGTCCTGATGGATCTGGATTTGACGGCAGCCCTAATTCCACCAAGGTAAGCATTTTTTTTTGTTTTCATTCGTTCATTAACTCTGAAAAGCTCTTATCATTTCTGTTTTCCCGTTGCGTTTCCTCATTTTTTATATTCTCTTATTTCATGTTTTGCTGCGATTGCCACTGCTTTCAGGAGCCAGACAAGGCTTCAGCAGCTGGGAGCGGTCTTACCGACGTAGCCTCTGCATCGGGTTACCACGCTAGGCGAGCAGCTGCGAGGTCGGTGGCGCCTCCCCACCCTCACCCCCACCCGGCAGAAGACATCAAACCAATCCAGCCGCGCGGTCCCGACGGCACGCGCGGCTTTAAGTACGGCCGCGGGAAGCCGTTACCTGGCCCTAACGGGGTGGTAACTGGTAACACCAGTGCTCCCCCTTCCACCATCGGCTCACCTCCGCAATATATCTCCGTAGCTGGCGGCGGAGCTGGCGCGTACGCTGGCGTGGGGAGCGCGCTCAGGCGCGGGGGAGCCCGCGGGATGGGCGCGGGGGGAGAGGCGGAGAAGCTAGCGGGAGAGGTGGAGCGATTGGTGGGCGAGAAAGATAAGGTGGAGAGTGAGTTAGCGGAAGCGAAGCTTGAGGTGCAACGTCTGCAGCACGACCTATTCGTTTCTCGCTTCGAGGCCGAAGGGATGCGGCGCCGCCAGCAGTCCGCGACCGGTGGCGGCGGCGGTGGTGACGGTGAGGGCGGTGTGCAGAAGGGCGGCAAGGGAAGCGAAGATTTGAGCGAGGGGGAAGGGGAGGGTGAGGGTGAGGATGGGGAAGGTAAGGAGGGAGGTAAGGAGCTGAAAGACTCTCTGTCTGAGGCTAGGATGGAGATAGTGCGGCTCGAGCACGAGTTATTCACTCTTAGGTTCGATGCGGAGAAGCAGCGCGTGCTTGCGGAGGAAGCGGCGGCTGGAGCGGGCGGAGCGGAAGGGGGAGCAGTAGGCGGAGCAGGAGTCGGAGCCAAGAAGGTGAGCTCGACGAGGGACTTGGGCGGGGCGGGCGCGGACGCATCCGCGGAAGGGCTGGCGCAGAGGCTGGCGCGCGCGGAGGAGGCGCTGGAGGAGTCTCGATGCGAAGCTTCGCGGCTGCAGCACGAGTTGTTCGAGGCGAAATTCCAAGTGGAGAAGCTCCGGAGCACGCAGGCGGACGCGCGCGCTGCTGTCGATCAGGCGCTGAAGGAACGCGCGGGAGAGAAGGCCGGTACGGGAGAGGGCGGAGGAAATGGAGGAAAGGAAGGCGAGGAGAAGGAGAATGAGAGTTTGTCGGAGTTGGAAACGGTTGTAGCACGCGAGGGGTGTCGGCTCTGTGTGCGTCTGCTGGCCGCGTTTTCCGGCGCGAAAAGGCGCGCGGATGCGGCGGAGAAGGTGATTGGGCAGGACCGCGCGGAGCTTGAGGGGCTGCGGAACGGGCGGGATGAGGTGCGCGTCGCCGCCGCCTCTGCTGCCGCCGCCTTCGCCGCCGCGTCCGCCGCAGGGCAGGAGGCGGCACAGAGGGAGCGGCAGAACTGGGAGCGAGCGGAGGAGGCGGAGAGAATGCATGCCGCGAGCAACTCCTCCGCCGCAGCCGCGATCGCGGCAGCGGTGGCGGAAGCGGGCGCGCTGCGCGCGCGCTGCGTGGAGCTGGAAGGGCAAGCGTCCGCCGCGTCGTCCGAAGCGGCGGCCGCGAAGGAGCATTTGAAGCAGGTGGCGATGGCGATCAGCGAGCGGAGCCTGCACAGGGCTGTAGCAGGACAGGACGATCCGTTTGGTGCAGCGCAGGGGGCTCCGGGCAGCGAGTTGTGGGGCGCAGGGGACGTGGAACACAGCACGGATCGCACCCTAGGGCGGGACGGTAGGTGGGACTTCGGCCAGGAGATGGGAGTGGGAGGCGGAGCAGGGGCGCAAGGCGCGCAGGGGGCGCAAGGGGCACAGGGACATCAGCTGTGGGACCCCTCTACCCTTGATCCTGCTATATCTGCCTTCTCCTCCGGCTCTCGCCCGCCCCCCTTCGCTGCCGCTCACCCGCCCCCGCCCCCACAAGCCCTGGGGCAGTCGATTGACCTGCACTTGCAGCAGCACCAGCACCAGCACCAGCAGCAGCAGTTTTCCAGCGGTTTAGGGTTAGGGTATGGCGGCCTGCCACCGCACATGTCCCCACCTCCGCACAGGCAGCACCCAGGCGCGCTCCCCCCTGGGGACGCCGCCATGCACGCGTTTCTAAGCGAGAGCCAGGGCCCTCCAGGGCAGCAGTTCCCCCCACCCTCAGGGTATGCGCTTGGGGGAAGGATACCCTCCCCCGCTCCCCCTGGCGCCATGGGGTTCGCGCCTTCTAATGGGAGCATGGGCGCGGGCATGGGTACGGGCATGGGCGCAGGTATGGGCGCAGGTATGGGCGCAGGCATGTGCGCAGGTATGGGCACGGGTCATTTGGCCCCTCCGCTTCCTGTGGCTCTGACAGAGGAAGAGTTGCTGATGCAGCTGAGTGGCGGAGGGGGCGGGGGAGGCGGGCAGGGGCAGGGGCCGGTGGCACAGCAACAGCAACAAGCGTTCCAGCAGCAACAGCAGCAGCAGCAGCAGCAGCAACAGCACCAGCAGCAGATGCAGTTTCAGCTCCAGCAGCAGCAGCAGCAGCAGCAGCAGCTGGAGCCTCAGCAGCAACAGCCACAACCGCAGCAGCAGCAGACGTGGCAGCAGCAGGAGCTGCTTCAGCATCAGCAGCAGCAGCAGCAGCATCACCACCACCCCTCGCACCATCACCACCACCACCAAAGCCAACAGCAGCACCACCACCATCAGCACCATCCCCATGATCACCACCACCAGCAGCAGCAGCACCAGCAGCGGTCGTCCCTCATCCCCACTGCCGTACTCCTTGCAAGCAGCCCCGCTGAAAGCAGCAGCCCCGGCCACCGTGACGGCTTTTACGATGTACACCACCACGGCGCAACCGCCGCAGCCATGACCGGTAGAAGCAGCATCAGCAGCATTGGCAGCGCCGGCAGCGGTAGTATGATGATGATGATGGGTGGTGGTGGTGGTGGGGGAGCAGATAACGTAGCCCCCCCTCCTCCCCCGCCTCTGAACTCGTGGGCAGCAGGTGGTGCTGGGAGTGGGCTCTGGGGTGGTTTTTGAGTCGACTCAAAATAGCAGCATCAGCAGCATCAGCAGCAGTGGCAGCACCGGCAGCACTGGCAGCGGTAGTATGATGATGATGATGATGATGATGGGCGGTGGTGCTGCTGGTGGGGCTGATGCTGTGGCCCTGCCTCCTCCCCCGCCTCTTAATTCATGGGCAGCTGATGGTGCTGGGAGTGGGCTCTGAGGTGGTTCGTGAGCCGACTAAAAATAGCAGCATCGGCAGCAGCGGCAGCAGCGGCAGCATCGGGAGCATCGGTAGCATTGGCAGCACTGGCAGTGGTGGTACGATGATGGTGGGTGGTGCTGGTGGTGGGGCTGGCTGGTGGGGCAGATGCTGTTGCCGCCCCACCTCCCCCGCCGCTTAACTCGTGGGCAGCTGGTGGTGCTGGGAGTAGGCACCTGGGGGGAGGCTGGGGAGACGATGCAAGCATGTACCGAGGCCGCTCTTAAGGGGTACGGTACGTCCTGGAGTATGGTTGAGGGTTGCTGTTGCAGCTTGCACATGTGCTTGGGGGAAGAATGAAAGAAAAGCTTTGTCACTTGGAAGCTTCTCTGGCTGATGTATGCCGAGCTGGAATTCAGATGGTTTTGCTGACTGTTATTGGAGCTTAGATTCAACATCCCAGATGTGTTTGTGGTGCTTTGTGCTTACTGTGTCTTCGACTAGCTTTTATCCGCATTATATAATAAGTTTGGCACTGCAATGTCCAGAAAGCACATTTCCAAGGTTATGCCATGTTGCCAGCTAGATTTGTCCTGGAGTCGCATTGGTTGGCACAGCCTTGAACACAATACCGTATGACATGTTATTCAGCACGTCAAGCACATAGTTACAATCTACAGTCTCGAAATGCTTACATCCTCTATACTGATCAGACATGAAACAAAGAAGACTTATTACCCAAGAATCTTTGTGGTACTAAGAACAAAATCTCAACATGATGGGCTAGCAGAGAGCAGCATGGCCTTATGGATTAGGAGAGAGCAGCATGAGCGCCCTGCACCTCCTTGGCAATGCTAATGAACACACGTCTAGGGTGGTGTTGGCTTGTTTGACTTCACAGCTCAGATGGGCTAGGAGAGAGCAGCATGAGCGCCCTGTGCCTCTTTGGCAATGCTGATAAACACGTCTTCCAGGGTGGTGTTGGCGATGCCCCATGCGCGAATGGATATCCGTGCCTTTGCCTCTGCCACTGTTGCAAACACATCTGCCATGTTCACCTGCAAAGGCAGAAATGGGAAGGATCCGGGGTGGTTGGAGCGGAGCGGGTAGCAAGGATAAGTGAGGAACGAAAACACACCTGCCTTATTGCAGGAGGGAGGGGAGGGGAGGAGGGGGGAGATGAGAGGAGAGAAGGGATCGCAGCAAGGGAAAGCAATGGAGGGAGAGAGACAGAGGAAGAGACACGGATAGAGGAACCAAACAGCCTAACCCCGAAACTCACATCGGCGGTGGGCAGCTCAAACTTTTGAGTGCCCGCGAGGCTGTAGACCTTCTTGGCATTGGGCGAGAGCGACTTTGCCAGCTCAGCAGCGGCCTCCTCCTCTTCGGGCGGCGTGGTGACAGTAAAGACAAATGATCCGCCATACCGCGACGTCAGCTGTCGCGGGTTCCCGATGCACTCAAACTGCCCGTCAACAAAAATACCCAGGCGATCGCAGAGAGCCTCTGCTTCTTCCATAGAGTGAGCTGGGGGAAGGGGGAAGGGGGAAGGGAAAGGGGGAAGGGGAAAAAGAAAATGATGAGGAAGGGAAAGAAGGGAAGGTCAGCTGCCTCGGGTTCCTGATGCACTCAAACTGGCCATCCACGAATATGCCCAGACGGTCACAGAGAGCCTCTGCGTCTTCCATGCTGTGAGCTGGGGGGAAGGAGGAAAGAGGACAATGGGAGGGAAAGGAATGTCAGTTTCTGTGGGTTCCCGATGCACTCAAACTGGCTGTCCACGAATATGCCCAGGCGAACAGGCCCTTTGCCTCCTCCATAGAGTGAGCTGGGTGGAAGGGGAAATCGAAAAGGAACAAGGTGACTTTTGAGTCAACTCAAAAGTCACCTCGAACAGGGCCTTTGCCTCCTCCATTGAGTGAGCTGGGTGAAAGGGGAAATCGAAAAGGAACAGGAAAAATGGAAAACGGAAAAGGGAAAAGGAAGAGGGGAAAAGGGAAAATGGGGAAAAAGGAAAAAGGGGTAAGGGAATACAGGAAAGGGGAAGAAGGGGAAGGTCAGCTGCCGCGGGTTCCCAGCCTGCACTCAAACTCAGGCGATCACTTTCCAGAATTGGCCGCAGCTTCCCAAACCAGTGGCACATGGCCTGGGATGAAGGGAAAGAGCGAGGAAAAAGGGGGGTGGGGGGAAGAGGAGGCTAGCTGCCACAGGTTCAGAATGCACTCAGAGTCTGAGACTGGCCGTTGACAAGCACATTAAGGCAGCCAGACTTACACTATCCACTGCAGGGCGACCACTCTGTGGTGAGAACGTCAGAGAGCACACAACATCGCCTGGAACCACACAGCACCACTCTGAACTACACAGCACGACTCACTGGTGAGCACGATGGCCGAGTCCTTCTTGGCCTCCTTGACCACAGCCCACAGGTTGTAACGCGATGCTGGGTCCAACCCTGTGCTGGGCTCGTCCATGTATACCACCTGCGGAGAGGGTGGGGAGAAATGGGGGGTAGGAGGGAGGGAGAGGGGAGGGAAGGAGGAAGGAGCTTTTCAGACCAGATAAGGTTGGGTCCAACACCGTGCTGGGCTCGTCCATGTACACCACCTGCAGAGGGGGAAAGGAGAAGAAAAAGGGGGGAGAGGGTGGACAGAGCGAGGTAAGAACGAGCGTGCATTAGATGCTGGGTCAAGCCCCGTGCTGGGGTCGTCCATATACAGCACCTGCAGAGGGAGGGTGGAAATAGAGGGGGGAGAGGGGGCGGAAGAGAGGGAGGTGGGGTAAGGGCGACCGTGCTTTAGTGGCTGGGTCCAGCCCTGTGCTGGGCTCGTCCATATACACCACCTGCAGAGAGGGTCGGGAGAAATGGGGGGTAGGAGGGAGGGAGAGGGGAGGGAAGGAGGAAGAAAGGGGCTTTTCAGACCAGATAAGGTTGGGTCCAAGCCCAGCCGGGCTCGTCCATGTATACCACCTGCGAGAGGGTAAGGAAAAAATGGGGGGAGAGAGAAGGGGAAAGGCGAAGTAAGGACGAGCGTGCAGTAGAGGCAGGGGCAGCCCTGTGCTGGGCTCGTCCATACACACCACCTGCGGAGGGGGTGGGGAGAAGGGTGAGAAGGGGAGGGAACAGAAGAAGTGGGGGAGAACGGCTCCCAGGATAGACAAGCGAGGCCTTGTGCACTAGATAGATGTGGTGGTGGCAGGCTACAGCTGGCCCCTGCTGACTTTTGAGTCGACTCAAAAGTCACCTCGTTTTGAGTCGACTCAAAAGTCACCAAGCGGGGCTTTGTGCACTTGGTGGTGGGCAGGCTACAGCTGCTCCCTGCTGGCCCCGCCCATGTATACCACATGCACGGAGAGAAAGGGCGCAGGAGAAAAGGGGGAGGCAAGGCGAGAGAGTCATGACCACTATCGGTGGTATAGACTGGTCAAGAGCCCAGCTGAACTGGGATCAAGCTGGCGAAGAGAGAGCCACGTGAAATAAGAGTGTTTTTGAGACGTCTCAAGAGGTCATGCCCACTATTGGTGGTATGGACTGGTCAAGAGCCGAGCTGAACTGGGATCAAGCTGGCGAAGAGAGAGCACTCACAGGGGGTTTGCCGATGAGGGAGATCGCGACAGACAGCCGCCTTTTCATGCCTCCGCTGTACTTGCCGGCCTTCTTGCCCACTGCCCCACTAAGAGATAAGTTGACTAGAGGCGAGCCAGGACAATGGCTAGAGCACTCACAGGGGGTTTGCCGATGAGGGAGATGGCAACCGATAGCCGCCTCTTCATGCCTCCGCTGTACTTGCCGGCCTTCTTGTCGGCAGCACCCCCCGAGAGCAGGTTGACGCTTTTGAGTGAGTCTAGAACCGCCTGCTGCAGCGCCTGCCCGTCCAGGTTCTTGAGGCGCCCGTAGAAATAGAGGTGCTCGCGGCCGGTCAGCTGCTCCCATAGAAGGCTGGTGGGAGGGGGAGAGGAGGAGGACGGGAGGTGAAATAGAAGCGTAGCAGTCCGAACCAATCCGATCTGATTTGGTGAACGAATGGTGTGGTACAAGGAGCAGCGGAACTCACTCGTGCTGCGGGCACACGCCCATGATGGTGTAAACATCGTCCATCTCCTCCAGAATGTCCTTCCCCTCTATGAACGCCGTGCCTGAGCTCGGCTTCACGAGCCCAATCATCATGTGGATGCACGTCGTCTTGCCCGCCCCGTTCGGCCCCAGCATCCCGAAGCATTCCCCCCGAGCCAGTGCCAGAGACATGCCCCGAACCGCCAGCTTCGGCGGGTTGCCGTCCCTCCCAGGGTAGATTTTCTTCATGTTGTCACAGACGATTGAGTAGCCGTGGTCTAGCTGATCCCTCTGCAGCAGCTGCTGCACCAACTCGCGCTGTTTTGGGGGGATATTTAAGGAGGGGAGGGGAAGAGGGGAGAGTGAGGGGAGGGTGAGGACGGAGAGGTGTCATCCCTCCCGAGGTAGACTTTCTTCATGTTGTCACAGGCGCTTGAATAGCCATGGCCTAGCTGGTCCCTCTGCAGCAGCTGCTACACCAGATCTCGCTGCTGGAGGAAAGGGAACAGGCAAAGAGTGGATGGGCGAGAAGGGGCGAGGAGGAGGAAGCCTTGAACGTCTGAGTGGACTTTTGAGTCGACTCAAAAGTCAAGTGGACTAGAATTTTATTTGAAAAGCCAACTGATACAAGCCATTCCATCGCCTCACCTCTGCCATAACGTCTTCTCGCTCCTTCTTCGCCTCCACTGCGCCTTTGGTGGAGACCCAGTGCGAGCTAGGCCTTGACGAGCGTGTTGCTGAGCTTGTGGCGGCCAAATGTTGAGTCGACTCATTCCATTCGCTCACCTCTGCCATGACGTCTTCTCGCTCCTTCTCCGCTTCCACTGAGCCTTTGGCCGAGGCACGGTGCGAGCGAGAGGCCTTGGAGAGCGTGTTGCCGTGCTTGTGGCGCCCCCTGATGCCGTCCAGGAAGAAGAGAGGATGCTTCCCCGACCCGCCGCCAGTTGGCACCACCTGATTGGACGGGAGGAGACGGGGTGAGGTGAAGCGGATTGGTTGGTGGACGAGCAGTGGAGAGGAACGCGTTGGATTATGCCAAGAAGCCATGCGATGTTGCAACACTTGAGACGTCTCAAAACTCGCCTTGGACAATGCCAAGAAGCTATGCGATGTTGCGACACACAGGGTTAAGTGACCCACTCCGGGGGAAGAGGCAGAGGAGTGGAGTGCTCATTTACAGGGTTAAGTGACCTGATGTTACTCCCCATACATTCCCCTTCTCCTGGACAAGCT